TACTCTGCACATAATGTAGCTCCGGTTGAGCCTTTCCTGCTACTCGAAGTCCTGGGGATGCAAGGATTCGAATTATTCCCATTTCCGGTTTTGCTATCCAAACTTTCGATTCTCCTGTCCGATGATCGATGCCTTTCTCCTGTAGCTTCGTGTTTCTCCCTCGAATCAAAGTCGGATTCGCGAGTCTCTTCCTGGTACTGCGACGGATCTTGTATGGAGTTCAATGGAGTTCTGGCCGGTTGAACGTGAACTGAGTTCATCGAGTTTTCGAACTCGTCTCCCTTCGTTTCCACAATAACATCCATCGAAGCGTTCCGAGAGATGAACCGAGAACTGTTCCCGCCGTCTCTCAACATTTCTGAAATTCAAATACTAGAAGGCAAACTTTCAGTTTACTTCAACATCAACAACATGTAAATTATTGTTTTCTAGATCGGAGAAAAGGGGATTAACGTTTATGAGTTCGAAAGCTGGAGCCTGGAGCTCATCTGCAGAACTGAAAGTATGAAACAGTACAAAGCTAGTCGCCGAAGATATGGATTAGACCCGCTCAATTTTCAATTTGAATTTCTTATTTTAGTTGGATTATTTTTTCATATTTTTTAAAATGCGTCCAATACTTTTTACTTTTTTTTTCATAGATAATTGGTTAAATATTTGTTAAAATTTATTTATTTATTAAATTACATACATTATATAATTAAAAAAATATATAAATTTTTATTACAAAATTAATCTTCAACATTTAATATTTATATTTAATTAAATATTTTTATAGTATATTAAATAATAATATTTACATGTCATGTTATTTAATATATTAAATCCATTGTATGCACCTATTTAAAATGATATACTATATTGCATCAAAGCTAATATTTTTAATATAATAGAGGCATCCAATAAACTTTTTTAAAAAAATTAAATAAAAAAAAACATAAAATAAGTATTATTTAAAATATCATTTAATATGTTAAGATTGATCAACTTCTGTATTTATATTTTAAAATTTAAATAATAATACGAGATTCGAGATTTACATACGAAAATTAAAATATCGTGATAAGATTATAATCTCGCTGATAAACTTCTCGATTCTCAAATTAATTTACAACACAACGCATCAACAGACTTAAATTCGATATAAACTTTAATATAAGATACTAGCATTATCTTTAATGATTTATAGACAAAATATAATTTATTCAATTTATGCAATAAGAGAATCGGAAAAGTAAATACATATATATGTATATATAAATTTAAAAGAGTAGGATATATTTAAAACATTCGTAATATATTTTGTTATAAGTAAATATTTTATATCACATGTAAATGTAACAATATTATGATATAAAATCTATTTTTTTATTGTGTTATTGTCTTCGTATTCACTTACAATTGATATTTGACTATATAACTCAATAAAATAAGAAATGCTAGCCGACTCTAACTACATTTAGCCTAATATTAGTATTAACCCACAATTTTTTTTTTTTTAATTTTAATAATATTATTTTAACTGTAATTTTTAAATACGTACTTTTAATCATTAATAATTATATTATAAACTAAAAATTCATTTAAATTTGACCGAGTGTTGTCAAATATAATTTAAAAATAATTATATTATTTTAGGTAAAGTAACTTATTAATTCGAAATAAAATTAAAGTAAACAATACTCATGAGGAGGGAATTCAAAGAATCCAATGATTCAAAATTTCAATTCAAATGTTGTTGTTGGACCCCCATGGGCAATATTAAAAGGACCACCAAAGCCAATTTCATTGAATGCCCTACCTATACAAAAGCTCTTTAACTATCTATTGCCATTGCATTTATTTATATAGAAATTTTATTATTATATGAATAAATGTATATATGTTTCTTCCAACTCAAATTTATATTATTAATTAATTATATGTATGTATCTTTTATGTATCATACTATTTTTTATTTTAAACAATTTATAGTATATTTAATTATTTTATTAAATAATAAATAACACATTATTTTTAAAAAATAATATATATTAATCGAGCAAATATTAGTACAGATATATCGGGGACTAAACCGACTGAGATATGAAAAGCAAGAGTACTATGTGCTAAGGAATGAGCCGCATTATTGCAAATCCTACGAATCCATTAAATAGATATATATGGTCGAGAATTCAGTATCTCAATACAACTAGCAATAATAAATCCAAATTCGAAATTGCCCTCCTTTGACGACTGTATTGCTCTCTCGAGCATCCATCTCTAGTATGAATAAACGTATATATGTTTCGTCCAACTCAAATTTATATCATTAATTCATTATGTAAGTATGTTTTATATATCATACTATTTTTTATTTTAAAAAAATTATAATATATTTATCTGTACAAAATTAAGTTTAGATATGCATACTGTTTATCATTATTAAGAGGTCATGATATTATTTATCTTATTGTTATTAATATAACGTGTAAGTTTCATATAATTATTAAATTTTAGAAATTTTTATTTAAAATATTAACTATTTTATTAAATAATAAACAACACATATTATTTTTTAAAAAATAATATATATTAATCAAGCAAATATTAGTACAGATATATCGGGTGCTAAAACGACTCATACATAAAAAACAGGAGTACTATGTATCAAGGAATGAGCTGCATTATTGCAAGTCCTACAAATTCACTAATTAAATATATATGGTCGATAATTCAGTATCTCAATGCAACTAGCAATGATAAACCCAAATTCGAAATTGTCCTCCTCTAGCGACTGTATTGCTCTCTCGAGCATCCATCTCTAGTATGAATAAACGTATATATGTTTCGTCCAACTCAAATTTATATCATTAATTCATTATGTATGTATATTTTATGTATCATACTATTCTTTAATATTTTATTTATGTTCACTATTTATTTTCAAAAATTTATAATACATTTATTTATATGAATTTAAATTTAAATATGCATACCGTTTATCATTATTAAAAGTAATGATATTATTTATCTTATTGTTATTAATATAATGTGTAAGTTTCATATTATTATTAAAATTAAAGTATTAATTATTTTATTAAATAATAAATAATACATTATTTTTTTAAAATAATATATATTAATCAAGTAAATATTAGTACATATGTATATGAGACTAAACTGGCTCAAACATAAAAAATAAGAATACTACGTAAAACTTGTGTTAAGGAATGAGTCGCAATATTGCAAATTTTACGAATCCATTGAGTAGATGTATCTGGTCGAGAATTCAGCATCTTAATACAATCGACAATGATAAACCTAAACTCGAAATTGTCCTCCTCTAACGACTCTGGTGCTCTCACAACCCTTTGAGCATCCATCTCTAGTATCTTCAGTTATTGCAGTACACTCCGACATTCTAACAATTCAACTAAAAAAAGGCGATAAGCACCCTTGACTCCTACCCGAAAACACCTTGACAAGTCCACCGGAGGAATCTCGGATAACATTGTGCCATCAACGTTGCATTAATATACCTAGATACTAGTTTAAATTATATATAAACAGAAAAAATTTAATTGAAATTTGTGTGAGTGATCCTTAATATTTAGTTACAATTAGAATTATATTTATTATTTTTTGAAGATGAAAATACCAAATTAAATGGACATTAACAACAAACTTATTAATTCTAAAATTATTTAAAAACAATAAACTATCTTGAATGAATCTGCAAAATTTAGGGTTTAGTTGAATTAAAAACTAAATTAAAAGCGAATAAGAACTTAATTTTTCCAATTAGGGAACAAGAATAATAAGTTCAGTACTATCTTGAGATGATGTAAACAAATGGAAACCAGAGAAGCAGGAAAAATGCATGAAATAATGTCCTCCGCCTGCTGCCTCCTCCTAGATCCCCAACACTACCTGCAGCTGAAACACAGCCAAACACGGAAAAGTCACTCAAAATTGAACAAGACAAGGACGAAGAAAAACCAGAAAATTGCAGAGTCTAGTTCTTAATTACCGCATTCTCTAGTAGCATTAATGGAGGCAGAGCAAACACAAAGCATCGCTTCAGTTTCAGTGTCAAACCCACAGGTTCCACCGGAAAGCTTACACCTTTCACACCCAGTTTCGGGCAGAGCGTAAACAAGCTTGATCCCGTAAACCCAGTCCACCGGCCCCACGCCCTTGAGACCATCAACGTCAATCACCGTCGTGTAATGCGTACAGTCCAAAATATTCATGCTCATGAACTTAACCGTATCGTACCCTGTGAAACAACACGGCGGCGAGGTGCTGTTACTCACCAAATGGAAAAGCCTGAAAGCGGTACACGCCCCGTAAAGCTCCTCGCAGGAATGGCCGGAGAAGTTGAAGCAGCGGTCTTTGTAGTGGTTGAGCACGGGGGAGTCTATAGAGCAGTTCATAAGAGCGAAAACGGTGTCCGGCGACGGAGGGATGAGGACGGACTGAATGTCGGTCATGAGAAAGTCGTGGTGGGGCTGTAAAATGGAGCAGGTGGACATGGCGGGATCGTAGATGACAAGGGTCTGCTTGTCGTAGTCGATTTTCTGGACCTTGTAGGTCCCTGAAGGAGTCAGGAAGAAGAGCTCGGTTGAGCAGTTGAGCATGTTCCTGAACTGCGGCGCCCCGCAGCCGTCGTCTATGCCAAATGGGTATTTTATTGGAACATTGCCGCAAAAGGATCTGCAAGAGGACGCGACGGCAAGGGAAGGTTGTGGTTGGTCAAATACTGCCGCTGCCACGGCTAGGACGAACAGAGTCAGCTTGGAAACTAACAAGAGCTGCATTTTCCTTTCTTGGTTCTTGCCAATTTTAGTTTTGGTGATGGAAAGACAAACGACTTTTGCCAAACGACGGAGACGACAGACATATCCCCATACAATTAAATTAAAACACGATTATTTCACAAAGTTAAAAATAAATATCATCCATGATATACATCTACATGAGCTTGACGAAATGGGGCTATTGTGGGAATTCACGTCCGGGATTTTCTCAATTAGTCAGTAGACTTTTTGACGGATGCGCTGGAAATGGGATCCACATGTTTGAAAAATATGAACGAGAAACGTTAAAAGATTTACTGCATGAAAAGCTGAAAAGCTGAAAAGCCACAGTACTGAAATCATGTGTCTTGTCTTTTGAGAAGGAGTTGATTTCAAATTAACCACTAAGAATATCTTTAATATCATATATAATATGTTTGCACATTACTTATAATACACCACCCAATACAACAAACATAGATTTATATGACAGTATTTATACATATAACTTTTATATTCATGCATTTAGTACAGTAGAGTACTAAACTAAGCAACATCAGGCAGCAGGAAGGTTGGTAAAACGCATGTAGGGCTGTTTGGAGGGCAAGTCAACAGTGCGGTAGCCCTGAGGGTACCTCTGCTGGGCTTCCTCGTTGGAGACGCTGGGAGGGATAAGAACCGGATCCCCCCGTTTCCAGTTAACCGGAGTCGCCACTTTGTGCTTGCTTGCTATCTGAAGTGCGTCCACCGCCCTCACCACCTCGTCCATGTTGCGCCCAACACTCACCGGGTAAAGAAAACTCAGCTTTATCTGCACAAATTAAACATGTCACTAAATCGTAAAAAAGTGAAAATAAAAAGGATATGTGAGTTCAAGAAAACCTTCTTATCTGGGCCAACGATGTGGAGGGCTCGAGATGGAACTAGGCTTCCTGATGGGTCTTTGAGATCTGGCTCAACCATGTTGAGTTGGGCGAGGATTTCCCTCTTGGGGTCCGCAATCACCGGATATGTGACTCTGCACCCAGGCTGCATTCACAAAAATTTTGGACTTTCACATCTATTATCGTTTGACCTCAAAAGAAACAAAACAAAAAGCAATATTGAAGCGCACAGTATAGGCTTCAACATCTTTGAACCACTCGCTATGCGACTGGACAGGATCACAAGACAAACCCAAAAGCTTCACTCCTTTGCTTTCAAGCTCCGGACCATAAGCAGCTATCTTGCCCAGCTCCGTGGTGCACACCGGCGTGAAATCGGCTGAACAAAATGCATTATAATGCACAAAAAACAAACACATGACACAAACTATATATGTATATATCCCGCATGCTTCTATCTAAAATTAAACAACCGTGGCTGTGCGTGAAGTGAGAACGAAGAAAAAGTACTGCACATGTACAAGGAGTAACCTGGATGAGAGAAGAGGATGGTCCAGTTATTGCCGAAGTAGTCATGCAGCTTGAAATTTCCATGGGTGGTTTCGACTTGAAGGTTGGGAACAGTATCCCCAAGAGTAAGGCCTGGCATTGTTCAGACTAAAACACAGTAGAATTTCAAAGTCCTCTCTGTTTTCCGATCAATGGGGAGTTCTGCGGTTTGGAGATTAAATGTTGTGGGAGAGTGGATGCATGTAAAGAACGTGGCATGCGTCGTGGCGATTCCATTCTGCGATTGCGTGCCTCGTGCAATTCTCTTGCTGTCCTATTTTATTTTTGAAAAATAAAAAATGGGTCTGGAGTATACTTATTTTATTTTTTAAACGGGTGGCACGCTGGAATTTTCATTCAAGCGAAATGTCCCGGGTTCGATACCCCGCGTCCTCCATTTTCGTTTTTAATATTTTTGACGAGTAGCCACGGTTCGGGTGCCTGAGGGGCTTCCGTTTTCTTACTGACGGACATGATTAAAGGCAGCGGATGACGATGACAGATATTGAAGTGAATTTTTTCCCGCCTAATAATTTCTAGCTCCTTTCTTTTTGTCTCGCTACCCCGCCCCCCCTCGTTCGATTTCACCAAAGCATCCATAATCCATAACCTCCGAAGCACACAGCTAGCAAATCGGTGAAACTGAAAGGAAGATCATGGAGGAGGTGGTTCTAGTTGGTCAACTGCTGGACCAGACTCTTTGCCCTGACAGCAACGCTGTACTTGCAGCGGCTGAAGCTCTGGATCGCTTCTCTCTCGCTGCTCATTTTCCTTTCTCTCTTCTCACAATCGCCATCGGTAACTTGCTCGTTGTCTCCTTTTTCTTTTGTTTAAGTATAACATTTAATCTTCTGTTGTCTTAGAAGCGAAACTTCAACTTGGCGGGCTTGATTTTGAATTTTTAACACTCTTGTCTATTGAATTCCGACCTAAATCATTCTTACTCCATTCTTTTCAAAATTGGGCTCGAGCTCAAGCTGATCAAATGTTTGCTTTAAGCTTATTCCAGTCGATTCCATTTTTTATTAGTTGCTATAGTTAATGATACTTGTGATCACTTCTGCTAATCCGTTATAATTCCATATTTCGATTAATTTCCCAGGTTACGAAGAAATATATGGAATCAGCATGTCTTATTATTTTCTGAATTGCTTACTCTTTGAATATGAAAATCTAGTTTAAGTTGAACCTGAAGTAGGCTAGTTTCAATCACCCTTCTCCCCGTTTATGCCTCATTTTCGGTCTCCTTTCCTCTCTAGGTTGATCGGTTCATTTATTGGAATCTTTATGAATTTCCTTTGGTATATTTTTCATTTGGTACTGGTACATACTTTACCCATAGGAGGTGAGAATCAAGGACAGAGAGTTGCTGCTGCCACCTATATGAAGAATCTTATGAGGCGAAACATTGAAAGTCGTGATACAACTTCAAACAGCAGCAAGGAGTTAAAAGACCAGCTTATGCAAGCTTTGCTTAAAGCGGAAGGTGCTGTTCTAAAAGTTTTACTTGAAGCGGTATGCATATGGGGTTAATTTTATCTCAGACCACTTTTCTTTTTGTTGATCTGATGTTCAATATTGTTGCCATTACTCAACTTTTTTCAAATTTAATTTGCTGTAGTTCCGGGTCATTGTTGTTGCTGAGTTTGTGAAGCAGAATTCTTGGCCTGAACTTGTATCCACACTATTGTCTGCGATTCAAAACAGTAATCTAATCAATGGTGAAGTGATTTCTGAATGGAGAACTTTGAATACTGTTATGATTCTTCATGCAGTCATTAGGCCTTTCCAGGTATTTGTTATTTTTTCCTTTTATTTGACAAGAATGAATGTCTTTGAGAACAAGTCCCACTTATTGGAGTTGAAGCGGGCTTTCTCCTAAAATGTGGCTAATTAGCTTGAAGGATTTAGCTACAATTTGGATACTCATAGATGAGATCAAAGTTGACATGCTGATAATTCCTTTTCATTTTTAAACGTTCATCGAATATATTTTCTTCTAATGTTTATTTCTCTACTTAAGCTAGATCTGCCTGTGTTATTATATTAATTCCATGATCTAAAACAAAGAAAGATTTTAATGTTCTTGAGAATTCTGTCTTGCATCTGTTTCACTTTGGTAGTCATGGTATGAACTGTTTTCATGGTCTGTTTTTTCACATATTAATATGTGATTCAATATCATTTCTGATTTTCTCTGTGATACAAATTTTGCTAAACTTTTAATTGGAGCATATATGTGATATCAGTCATGGATGATTTTATCTTGACTTGGTGGCTTTGAACTTCTTTTTTGTCTCTTGACAGTACTTTTTGGATCCAAAAGTTGCAAAGGAGCCAGTGCCACCACAACTAGAGTTAATAGCGAAAGAAATTCTGGTTCCCTTGCTGGCATTATTCCATCATCTTGTTGGAAAGGTTATTATCTTTGCCCTGAGTCTCCTCATATATTCTTTAGATACACTTTTGTTTTCTTGGTGAGCCTTCAAGGATCTTAGGTGCATGAAACAGATTTTAGCTGTCAATAATCAGATGGAGCTGGAAATGGAAAAAGTCCTTCTTGTCATCTGCAAATGCATATATTTTGCTGTAAGTAATGTTCCCGTCTATTTCAGACAGTGATAAGAACTCACTTATTTGTGAATCATTCTGTAGTTGTTGAATGGAGATCTGAATTGCGAAATAAAAGTTTTACTTGTTTTACTAATATTGTAGACAACTAAAAAAATACTTGTTTTTAAATCTATCCAATCTTCCTCTGACTTGAAACATGCTTTGTCCAGTATCAACAAAAACTCTACAGAAACTTGAGCCAACTAACCTTTAAAAGTGAGAGAGCACTTCTAAAAATCTCAAGAGTCATTTGCAGCAAGGCTTTGAGGTTTCACTGAACGAAACTCTAAGGCTAATGCTGGAGGTGGTGCACCTCCTGATGGTGGCCGGCGACCAAGCTGACATGCTTTTTTGATTTAGGTTTTTTTTTTGTTTTATAAAGAAGGAGAGACAGGATGTATATGCAAGAAGCAGATGAAATATTTTGGGAAGTGACTGTTGAGAACTTGGGAAAATGTAATAAATTAAATGTAGATTCTGATCGACTAATGTAGAAGAAAGAAAGCTTGCATACAGACTTAGAGAACTTTTGTTAAGAATAGAACTTGGAGATCTTGGATCTCAATAATTGAAGCAATATCTCAATATTTAAGTAATAATCATAAACAATCTATCTAATTCCAAAACTAGGTACCTTATTTATAAATACGGAGTATATCAAAAATAGAAAATTTAGAAAATCTAGTAAATAGAAAGAACTAGAGAAATAGAAAATCTAATAAATAGGAAATGTAGGAATAAGAGAACATATCATCTTATTTCTTTTATTATAAAACTTTCTAAAACTTAGAAAAGGAAATTAAATCTTCATTTCCTTTTAGTTAACTTCCGAAAACATTTATGTTTTCTATTGATTCTGCCTCATATTTTCTGTTATTATGTCCATTTTAGGGGCTTCCTATCTTGAATCTTTAGCAGCTGACTGTTCAGAGCTGATTGTTCAAAAGAAATCTATGAAATGTATAGGCTTTAGTTTGGTAAATGTTAGCCACTGGCTACTCTCTTATGGAAGGAAGAGAGAAGAGGAAGGATATCCCTCCCAGATCACTATTCTGACGTTTTAATAAAGTATGAAAAAGTAACATAGTTGTGACAAGAGATTTTCCAGCAGAAGACGGTCCATGATTATGGCACCCTAATATGGTGTCTCATTATGCCTCCTTGCCAACATCTAAAAGTATGCATGCTTGTATTTCCTTCAGAAGTATTATTGCATATCATGCTGTCTTTTTAAGTTCTAGTTGAATACTTTATGTTCTTCTTGTGGGGCTCTTGAGATTCAAAGGTGTGACAAACAGGAAGATACTTATTGTAGCTATCTTTTCCATTTTGTTATCTTGAATTGCCTTCTGGCATTTGATTTTCACTGTGCATGTAAAATATATCTTTTGATATTGCCTTTAAGAAGCTGGTGTATCCCTTTGACTGTGGCTATTCATAAGGTCTTGTCAGATATTCCTGAATACTGCTAGTTAACGTTTCTTGCATGCTCTATTGAATTTATTCTTCTGGCATCTCTTCTGATTACTATTAATTTTTTAGGTGAGGTCACATATGCCTTCTGCTTTGGCTCCTTCACTGCCTTTATTCTGTCATGATCTGTTTGGGATTCTCAGTTCTTTGCATTTTGATTGCGGTGTTACTCCAGATGATGGGTACTTACTGAGGTTGAAGGCTGGAAAGAGGAGTTTGCTTATTTTCTGTGTTCTGGTTACCCGACATTGGAAGTTTTCTGACAAGTAAATGAAATTGTTTGCCACCTAATCTCATCAGAATGAAAATATTTGTGGTTTCGGTTCTCATTTCATATTTGCTGAATTTTCAGGTTAATGCCAGACATTGTAAATTGTGCTTTAAAGATAACCAAATATAGCTCAAACATTAGTGTAAGTTATGCTTTTGATTTTGGGAATTACTGACTATTTGGTAATTGGTATGCTAGTAGATACTGTTTATATTTTTAATATGTTGTAACGTAAGTTTAATGCATTAACTTTATCTAGTGTAAAACTTTATCACTGATCCTGCTGACAGTTTTCTATTAAAACATTCTAATTTCAAGGTTCTGCTCTATTCCACTCAAAATTGATGTTTGCTGCTTTGCATAGCTCTCGAGTTGATTTTTTCTTAATTACACTTTATTCCTGATGTGAACAATTCTTTGATCTTCTTTTTACTCTCTCTCTGTGTCTTCATATAACAATTTAAAGAAGTTGTCTATTGCAGAAGCTTGATTTCGTATCTGAGAGGATTATTTCAGTAGCTTTTGATGTCATTTCACGAGTGCTGGAGACAGGCCCTGTGAGTTCCATTATATTTGTTGGTTTCTGGTTTCACTAAGTGTTCACTAATCTGCTCTGCTCTCTCCTTGGAATAAAAGATGTCAATTTGATTCTAGAATTGGGATGGGCATTAGTGATGTAAGTCACAATGAATTGAAGTACACTACTTTCCTTGAAATAGGGATGGAGATTAGTTTCGTCGCATTTTTCATATTTGTTGGACTCTGCAATCTTCCCAGTGCTGGTGCTGAATGAGAAGGTGCATTTTCCGAAATAAGCAAAAATAAAATTATATTTAGAATAATAATTTTAGAAAAAAGTTCAGTTACTGAACTATTTTCTGTTTAATGTGTTTATATTTGGAAATAGGATATATCTGAGTGGAAAGAAGATGCGGATGAGTACATACGGAAAAACCTTCCTTCTGAACTTGTATGAGAGTTAACCTGTCTCTCCCTGCAATGTTGATTATCTGTCATTTTATTTTCATCTCCTTTGGTTTGTTTGTAGGAAGAAGTTTGTGGATGGAGGGATGATTTATTTACTGCTAGAAAGAGTGCTTTGAACTTACTTGGTATTATTTCAATGTCAAAGGTTGATAACTTTATACCCTGATAACATCTTTTTGACTTGCTTTTTTCTTTTTAAAAAATGTTCTTTAGATTCTCTCTTATTGCTGACAGGGTCCTTCTGTAGTTACTTCTGCTGCTGGTTCTTCATCAACATCCAAGCGCAAGAAAGGTGAGAAGAATATGAGAAATAATCAGCGCCGTTCCATCGGGGAGTTATTGGTCCTTCCATTTTTGTCAAAGTTTCCCATTCCCTCAGATTCCACAGCATCCGAAGCTAAAACTCTTAATAAGTGAGTTCATGAATGCACTTCTCACGCATATCAAATTATTTTACTGCTCGTGGAGCTAAAACGTGCCACATGACTTTGAGCATTTACTATTGAACGCACATGATCATAATAATCTTGTCTCCAGTTTCTGCCATAGAAAACATTGATTTGGGTTACTACCTTGTATCTAGAATGCATTTGGTTATAGAAAATGGGAGTTGTCTTTTATTACATTTTTAGAGAAAATTAAAATGATAGAAAAATATGGTTGTGCATTTAAAGCATAATTGTTTTTTAGTTTTAATAATAATTCTCTTTCTCTTCTTAATAACAATTTTTTTTTCTTGTAGTTTTTTATAATAAACAAACCAATGATTTCCAAGGGAAAGAGTTTTCTATTAGATTCTAGAGCCCCAGATCTAGTTATGGGTACAAAATGTTTTCTGGTTTCATCTATCTTTATGACCTATTTTTGATTAGTGAAGAGCTTGAGCTCATTAAGAGAGAATTGATAGAACTACTTAAATTTAAGCCCTTAAGAAACTTAGAGACAAAATTTCTGCCTATTTTATTCTCAATCACATGCCTTTATATGGCCTACAGTCTAGGAATCAAATGACCACTACACCATGACTGCCTCTGTCATAGCTCATCTGCCAAACAAACATAAGACAACTCACATGTAATACCCTAGTTATTAAATTAATCCTGCTTTCTTTTCTTTTTTTCCACGAGTGGACAGCCTATAGACTTTGCCAGTTAATGATTAGTTGCTTCTTTCATACTACAGGCAAATGTAACATTTTGTTAACTCAGTTGTTTTTCCTTTTCTTTTTGTTGAAACGGTACATTTTAATGTCCCTTTTTATGAATTCTTTTTCTTCCCCAGTATTGTACTCTGTTTTTTTGTTATTAGCATTATTATCTTCTTTTCCATAATAGTCTGATGATGTGTCAACCATGGCAGTTATTTCGGTGTTTTGATGGCTTATGGTGGCTTGCAAGATGTGAGAAAATCAGATCCCATTTTTTCTGTCATTCGTGAATTGTTGTTTAACAAGAGTAGGATTGTCTTATACTTGTTTTACTGCATATGCAGTATCTTACGGAACAAAATCCAGGATACACAATGACTTTGCTTCGTACAAGGGTACTTCCATTGTATTCTGTGTCTAATTGTCCACCACACTTGATTGCCTGTGCAAATTGGATACTTGGAGAGCTTGCTTCCTGCCTGCCTGAAGTAAGTTTTCTTATTCAACACCTTCCGTTATTAACAGTCATAAGTTCTATAAATCTATATTTAGATTTGCTTTTCAGCTGATATTCTAATTTGCATTATTGAGAGCCTTATTTCCTCTCTCTCTTTTGCGTTACATATGTACTGTACCCAAAGACCACTTATTTATCTTGGTTTCAGGAGATGAGTGCAGATGTATATTCCTTGCTACTAAAGGCATTGACAATGTCTGATAACATGATATCACTTGTATCCTGTGCGGGTTTCTGCTGCTGGGGCATTTCTGA